GAGAAAGAGAGAGAGAGAGAGATCGGAGCACTGATAGTCATGGTATGATAGTGCGTCTTTGCCAAGAGGCACGGAGACACAGGCAGCCTGGATCCTGTTGCTCCTGTTGTTGCTATTTATAGAAACTATTGATCCCAGAAGAAGACAGAAGGTTGCAAGCATGCCATGAGAAAACCAGGCCACATTTGGATCAGCCCTGTGAGTCAACCTGGCCTGCTCTTGCATGTTGGACAGCAGTTCAATTTGCAGGTGACTTTGGCTGAATACTGTTGCAAGCTAATCCATCCCAATCTCCAAGTGGTGAGATATTCCATGCGCTAAGTCCAGGTTTGTGTTTCCTTTTGGAAACGAGGCACAAAGGAGACTGTAGTCTATACGGTCTATTTACACATACATATATGGAACATCTACTTTGAATGCAGAAGGTCTCACTTTGAATCCCCAGTGTCTCTAGGTATGGCTGGGAGCGCCACTACCAGTCAAGGTAGGCAATACTGAGCTAACTTGGCATAATAATAATGATAATAATAATGTTGCCCATCTGACTGGGTTGCCCCAGCTACTCTGGGTGGGTTCCCAATTATAAAACCATATTAAAACATAAAACATTAAAAACTTCTTCTAAACTGTCTTCTAAGATAGTTGTATATTTCCTTGACATCTGATGGGAGGGCATGACTACTGAGAAGGCCCTCTGCCTGATACCCTGTAACCCCACTTCTCTCAGTGAGGGAATTGCCAGAAAGCCCTCAGAGCTGGACCTCAGTGCCCAGGCTGGACGATGGGGGTGGAGACGCTCCTCCAGGTACAAAGGGCAGCTTCCTAGGTTCTTAAAACCTCCTGCACATCAAAGTGCTGGTTTCTGCGCTTTCATCAGACTGAGGCAGAGCCTCAGGGCCCAGGCACAGTGAGTGGCAAGCCTGCTGACCGATTCTTGCTAAGCACAGCGCACTCCCCATTTCCCATCACTATGCCTTGAAGATACCACTCTCCGTCTGAGCCAATTAAGATCACCTGGTAGGAGCTCAAACAACCTGCAGCAAAGGATATAGCCTTTTACAGCTATATCCACCCCCATCCGCCGCTGCCTGCCATTAGGAACACAGGAAGCGGACCTCTATCAAACCAGATCACTGGTGCATCTAGCACCCTAGTGCAACTGTTTCTGAACCCATTTGGGCCACTATCTGCTTGGTTCCATAAACCCACCCACTCCCAGTGTGCCCACTACCCCATTAAAAGCATAATTACAAATAGCGGTTTACATGATCCATCAAGGACAATAGCAACACAATAAAATTCAAGACAGTAACAATTAATTGCACATTAATTCAAAATCCAATTTAAACCATTTGGTTTAACTGATTCAACCAAATTGATGAACTTGATCCAGGAGGTGCCAGCTTTTCAAAGTCTTATAGTCACGTCTACTTCCATTGCCCCCTGGCACCCCCTTGCCTCTTAGCACCTAGGTAATCCTACTGCCCTCTGGTGGGGGGGGCAGTACTGCCCATTTTGGGCAAACAAACTGGATGCAAAGCAAGGGCCATTGATGAAATGTGGCCAAGGGTGAAGGGGTGTGGCCTGGAGAGAGTTCTGAGGGCCAAATAGGGCTGATGGGCTGCATTTGGCCCTGGGCTTAAGGTTCCTAACCCCTGCCATAGACCATGCAGAACTAGGTGGACTAAAATGTCTAAGGCAGTTTCTGGTGTTACAAAGTGCTTTTCTCAATCTCTCACTGTTTTTTCCTGGGGGAAACCGCTCTCTAGCACTTAACCAGAGCCAACGGAAATTCAGTCCCCCCCCCAAATTACTATTTGTTCCAATCTATTGCTTAAGAGCAGGCTTTCCATTGGAAAGGAGTGGGGCATAGGGAGAATCACTCAGACCCATTTGTACAAAGTGTGGGTCAAGCAGAAAACTGCTCCGACCCATGTTTTCTAGGCATGGCAGAATAAGTGTAAAGGAGTCCTAAATCCCACCCCCATCTCCATCTGTAAAATATCATTATTGATTATCCCTGCAGCATTTTAAAGCAGATACAGATTAGGTGATCCATCCTAGCAAACAGCAAATTGCCAGGGAAAATGAAAGTGACAAGTTTTGAAGTCACTTACTGTGGAGCAGATCAACAAAACATAAGAAAAGAGTTCACCTTTCAATCTGGGTTGGCAAATCCAAGATCCTCCAGATTTCTAATGCAAGTTTCATAAACCGCATGAAACCACAGGAGTGGCACCCTCCCCTGTGGAACACATTCCCTTCAGATGTCAAGGAAATAAACAGGGAAGTTTTTGATGCTAGACATTTTGTCATGCTTTTACTATTCTGCCGGGAGCTGCCCAGAGTGGCTGGGGAAACCCAGCCAGATGAGTGGGGCATAAATATGATGATGATGTTAAAAATAATAATTTTATTATTATTACAGTGGTACCTCTGGTTGCGAATGGGATCCGTTCCGGAGCCCCGTTCGCAACCTGAGCAGAACGCACCCCACGTCTCCACGTGCGCGGGTCATGATTCACCGCTTCTGTGCATGTGCATGAAGTATGGTAATTTTGAGCATCTGTGCATGCGCGAGCAGCAAAATCCGGAAGTAACCTGTTCCGTTACTTCTGGGTCACCGTGGTACATATCCTGAAAGCTCCCAACAGAATATTAAAAACACGATAAAACATCAAACATTAAAACTTCCCTAAACAGGGGAGCTGCCCAGATGCCTTCAGATATCTTCTAAATGTCAGGTAGTTGTTTATCCCTTTGACATCTGATGGGAGGGTGTTCCACAGGGTGGGTGCCACTGCTGAGAAGGCCCTCTGCCTGGTTCCCTGTAACCTCACTTCTTGCAGTGAGGGAACCGCCAGAAGGCCCTCGGAGCTGGACCTAAGTGTCTAGGCTGAATGATGGGGGTGGAGATGCTCCTTCAGGTATATTGGGCCGAGGCCGTTGAGGGCTTTAAAGGTCAGCAACAACTTTGAATTGTGCTCGGAAATGTACTGGGAGCCAATGTAGGTCTTCCAAGACTTGTGTTATATGGTCTTGGTGGCATAACCATATATTGGGGCCGGGGAGACAGCGGTTACCCTGTTTGTGCATCCACAAAATGGCTTAAAGTTCATCTTACCTGCACTGAGCGTCCTCTGGGACATTTTATGGCCAAACAGGTTAATCAACTATTTCTGGTTGGAATTCAGAAATGGTCTCAGGACAGTAAATCACGTTTTAAAATTGCATGTTTGGGGAACGAATGCTAATTGCAGCCCTGCCAGAAAGCATTTATTATTTTAGGACTTAAGCTGCAAAATTGTTATGCCTGTGTCAGTGGTTTATACATGCTCATTGCTTCTAGTTCACAGCAGGGCTAACTCTGTCTGGACAGTTACCAAAAACATTATGGGATTAACCACATTATTCATTTCAAGCACTTTTCACCACTGTAAACAATCGTGGTTCCCCCCCCCCAAAGAATGCTGGGAATTGTGGTTTGTTAACGGTGTTGAGAATCCTATCACCCTCACAGAACTACAATTCCCACAGTTACCTAGGAAGAAGGATTGCTTGCTAAAGCACGCTAAACCTGACCCCCACTTTGCTTAACCATTCTCACTCAGTTCCCCCACATTTGCTAGCAAGGATAGTAGTTACCTCCAGAATATATCAGAACAAATACCTCGGGTTAAATTTGCTTCAAGTTGAGTGCATTCGAGTTGCGCTCCACGGCAACTCGGAAGTAATGGAGTGTGTTACTTCCGGGTTTCGCCGCTTGCGCATGTGCAGATGCTCAAAATGTCACGCGCATGTGCAGAAGCGGCGAAAAGCGATGCGTGCGTGTGCAGACATGCCGTCGCTAGATACGTTTACCTCTAGATGCGAACAGGGCTCCGGAACGGATCCCGTTCGCATCTAGAGGTACCACTGTACTCCATAAAGACTGGGCATAGGACACCTCTGAGGTGCAGATTTTAATCACCCACCTTCTTTTAGTGATTGCAAGTTATTTTAAACAGTTTTTAATGTCATGTTTAAAATGGACACGGGTGGCGCTGTGGGTTAAACCACAGAGCCTAGGGCTTGCCGATGAGAAGGTCGGCGGTTCGAATCCCCGCGACGGGGTGAGCTCCCGTTGCTTGGTCCCTGCTCCTGCCAACCTAGCAGTTCGAAAGCATGAAGTGCAAGTAGATAAATAGGTACCACTCCAGTGGGAAGGTAAACGGCATTTCCGTGCACTGCTCTGGTTCGCCAGAAACGGCTTAGTCATGCTGGCCACATGACCCGGAAGCTGTACGCCGGCTCCCTCGGCCAATAAGGTGAGATGAGCACCGCAACCCCAGAGTCGTCCTCGACTGGACCTAATGGTCAGGGGTCTCTTTACCTTTAATGTCGTGTTTTAGTGTTGTAACCTGCTCTGGAACTTTAGGGTAGAGGCAAGGAAACAACAGCAGCACCAATAGTCTTGCTCTACCTTAAAAAGTCCCTTGCAAAGGACATTCCAAAAGGCACAATTAAAATTATAATTGTGATAAAAAGGTAATGAACAAGAAACAAAGTTGTGCATAGCATAAATGGACATATAAATAAGTGAATCTCCTTTCTTCATTACTTACTTTTTAAAAATTGCTTATTGACACCCATAGATCCTGCTCAGCCTTAAACCTATTAAACTGACAGCTGAAATAATGTGTCCACTTATACACGCCTAACATATTTAGCCTAAATATTGTATTTATCCTCATATTTTGTCATCTCTTTGATCCTCCAATTAAGTCATTACATGCTCTCTTGGCTTCGGTCTCAGCAATATCCATGGCAACATATAGATGTCATAAATACAGGATTACGATGTCAAAGCAGGAGTCATCAGATGATTAATAGCTATTATTGGAGCTACGCAATGCAGCAGAGTAACAGGCAGTGGGACTTTTCAAGAGCATGAACTTGTCCTCCCTTGCTGTCGGAGTCATGTTGCCCACATAGCGATTTCTTTTTTTTTTTTTTTTTAAGAATATTTATTCAAGTTTCAAAATTACAAAAAAGAAAGAAAAAACAAAACAAGAAAACCAGTCACATACATCTTACAAAAGATACACACCATACAAAAAAAGAAAAAGAAAAAAGGAAAAAATACACAAAATCAAAAATCACAATAAAAAATAACAAGAAAAAAAAAGAATTCAAATTTAACAAACCGTTTTCCCATTTACTTATTTCCGTGACTTCCTCTCACTTCTCTGCTTTGTATTCTAATTCAAATTGTATCTCCAGCAAATCCTTCTAACCTTCTTTTCATTCACTTATTTTAACATTTTAACATTCAAAAATATTTAATTCTCCTCTATCCTTTAGTTTACACTTTATATTTACTTAATTCCATTATACTCTGTCTGCCAATACGGTCTAATATTTCTTCTCCAACCTTTCCTAACATTCTTTTATGTTACAGTGATTCTGTAAATATATTTTAAACTTTTTCCAATCTTGTTCCATCAACCCTTCTTCTTGATCTCGAATTCTTCCAGTCATCTCAGCCAGTTCCATATAGTCTATCACTTTTCTCTGCCATTCTTCTCGGGTAGGCAATTCTTGTGTCTTCCAATATTTCCCGATGAGTATTCTTGCTGCTGCTGTCGCATACATAAAAAAAGTTCTATCTTCCCTTCGCACCAATTGGCCGACCATGCCCAAGAGGAAGGCCTCTGGTTTCTTTAAGAAAGTATATTTCAATACCTTTTTAATTCATTGTATATCATTTCCCAGAATGCCTTGATCTTTGGGCACGTCCACCAAAGGTGAAAGAAAGTACCTTCGTTTTCTTTACATTTCCAACACTTATTATCAGGCAAGTGATAAATTTTTGCTAGCTTGACTGGGGTTAAGTACCACCTGTAAATCATTTTCATTATGTTTTCTCTTAAAGCATTACAAGCCGTAAATTTCATACCTGTGGTCCATAACCGTTCCCAGTCAGCAAACATAATGTTATGCCCAACATCCTGCGCCCATTTAATCATAACAGATTTAACCATTTCATCCTGTGTATTCCATTTCAGCAGCAAATTATACATTTTTGACAAATTTTTAGTTTTAGGTTCTAACAATTCCGTTTCCAGTTTAGATTTTTCCTCCTGGAAGCCAATCTTTTATCTAAGTTAAAAACCTCCCTTATTTGATAATAGTGCAACCAATCTCTGACTTTGGTTTTTAATTTGTCAAAATTCTGCAATTTTAATTTATCTCCAACTTGTTCTAAAATTTCACAATATTTTGGCCAGTTTGTCTCCATATTGGTTTTTTCAATGCCTTTGCCTCCATTGGTGATAGCCACCTTGGTGTTTTACTTTCCAACAAGTCCTTATATCTCACCCAAACATTAAACAATGCTTTCCTGACAATATGGTTCTTAAAGGCCTTATGCGCTTTAACTTTATCATACCATAAATATGCATGCCATCCAAAACGTTGTCAAAACCTTCTAAATCCAAAATGTCCACGTTTTCAAGAAGTAGCCAATCTTTCAGCCAGCAAAAAGCGGCTGATTCATAGTAAAGTTTAAGATCTGGCAGGGCAAATCCCCTCTTTCCTTTGCATCTGTTAATATCTTAAATTTTATTCTAGGTTTTTGCCCTGCCAGATAAATTTGGAAATGTCTCTTTGCCACCTCTTGAAACAGTCCATTTTGTCCACAATTTGTAATGTTTGAAACAAGAACAACATTCTAGGCAGTACATTCATCTTTATCGCAGCAATTCGGCCAAGCAATGATAACTTCAATTTTGACCATATTTCTAGATCTTTCTTCACCTCTGACCAACATTTTTCATAATTATCTTTAAACAAATTCACATTTTTAGCAGTCATGTTCACCCCTAAATATTTCACTTTGTTAACAATTGTTAATCCTGTCTCTTTCTGGAATCTCTCCTTCTCTATCTCTGTAAGATTTTTCTCTAATACCTTGGTTTTCATCTTATTTAATTTAAAACCAGCTACTTGACCAAATTCTTGTATTAATTGTAACACCCTTTTTGTGCTAGCTTCTGGCTCCTGTACTGTCAAGACTAAATCATCAGCAAAAGCTTTCAATTTATACTGTTTAGCTCCAAGTTGTATACCTTTAACCAATTGGTCTTTTCTAATCATATTGAGCAGAACCTCAAGGACCGATATAAAAAGCAATGGGGAGATTGGGCAACCCTGTCTTGTTCCTTTCTCTATCTTAAATTCTTCTGTAACTACATTGTTCACAATAAGCTTAGCTTTTTGTTCCGAATAAATTGCACCTATACCATTTTCGAAACTTTGGCCTACCCCCATCCCCTGCAAATTTTTCTTCATAAAACTCCAAGAAATATTATCAAACGCTTTCTCTGCATCCACAAATATTAAAACAGCTTTAGTGTTAATATTAACTTGCAGTTTTTCCAAAATGTTAATGATGTTCCTAGTGTTGTCTGACAAATGTCTTCCAGGCAGAAAACCCGCCTGGTCTTTATGAATCTCTTTTACCAATACATTTTTAATCTCTTAGCCATAATTTCAGCAAAAATTTTGTAATCCACGTTTAGCAGGGATATGGGACGGTAGTTCTTCAACTGTGTCTTCCCCCTCGGTTTTTGGTATAAGTGTAATGTACGCTTCTTTCCACGACTCGGGTGCTCTTCCTCCCCGTAGTATTTCATTACAAAGTTCTTTCAACGGTTGCAATAGCCATTCTTTCAAAGTTTTGTAATACTTTGCAGTTAGTCCATCTGGCCCTGGGGATTTGCCCAATTTCATATTCAGAATGGCTCCTTCCACTTCTTGATCAGATATAGTCAAATTTAATATTGATTTACTGTCCTGAGATATTTTTTGTAATCCATTATTTTCCCACATAGCGATTTCTAGCTGGCCTGAAAATTAATCCAGATAAAATTGGAACAGCGGTATCTATTGGTCACTTTCCCCACCAATGCAAGTTTGACCCAAAACAATGTACGAACATTAAAAAAAATTTACAAAATAGTGCCAACATTAAAAATCAAGGCTCGATCTAGACACAGAAAAAACACAAAAACGTGTTGTTAAACCTCAGAATGGGAAATCACATTGCCAAAAGATAGGACCCCACAGCGCCATCTGGTGCCACAGTGTTATAACGCATTTAAAACGCTTTTTTCTTTACTAATGTAGCTGAGTCTCGAATCTAAAACTAAAACAATAACATGCACTTGATCTAGAAGTTGCAATTAGAACAGAGTGCTTCAGCACAATTGCTGACCAGAGTGAGGCCTTGTCAGCATCTAGCACAGGCATAGGCAAACTCGGCCCTCCAGATGTTTCGGGACTACAACTCCCATCATCCCTAGCTAACAGAACCAGTGGTCAGGGATGATGGGAGTTGTAGTCCCAAAACATCTGGAGGGCAGAGTTTGCCTATGCCTGATCTAACTAGCACCTGTTCTCAGAGATCTGCCCTGGTTGCCAGTTTGCTATTGGGTGTCAGGCGGCAGTGGATCCAACCAACACAGCAGGTTGCCAGGAACGGATAAGACAAGGACAAGTTATTACCAACTGCTTTTTATTCAATATTCACAGGGAGATGCTTGGAAATGCAACCTCTTGAAATAATGCCATTGCCCCAAGTGAGTCTCCACCCCCTTCATCTCTCCATCATCATTATGAGAAGTGCCCTCTGCCTCTGAGCTCTCTGCTCTCCTACTTTCAATGCTCGCTGGGTTCTGGAAGGAGGGGGGGTCTGGAATGATTTCTAAAGACTGTCTCCTTCTTATCTGGAAGGGTCGGGCTGGGCAGACGGGCTCCACTATTCCTCCTCTGCCCAGTCCCTGATTGGGCTATGTTCAAGGTCAGGGCTGGATTTAGGCCCTAAGCTACTGAAGGTAATGGGGCCCTTTATATGTCCAGCTGTCCTTTGTCAACAACAAATTGTTGCTGTTTTTTGTGTTGAATATATGCCATATGGTAATTGATTAATAGGTATCTAAAGCCATTTGCAGCCAGTCCATGCAGAATGTAGGCACCCTGTATATAGAAACGAGCAAACCAGTGATATTTTAGGGAGCAGGCTAGCAGGCGGGACCCATGACTTACATCATGGGTAGGCAAACTAAGGCCCAGGGGCCGGATCCGGCCCAATTGCCTTTTCAATCCGGCCCGCGGACAGTCCGGGAATCAGCGTGTTTTTACATGAGTAGAATTTGTCCTTTTATTTAAAATGCATCTCTGGGTTATTTGTGGGGCCTGCCTGGTGTTTTTACATGAGTAGAATGTGTGCTTTCATTTAAAATGCATCTCTGGGTTATTTGTGGGGCATAGGAATTTGTTCTTTTTTTTCCTTTCCAAAATATAGTCTGGCCCCCCACATGGTCTGAGGGACAGTGGACTGGCCCCCTGCTGAAAAAGTTTGCTGACCCCTGATTTACATCATAGGAGCCTACACAACGCAAAACACTGTTTCTGTATGTAGGTTTTATTTTATTTGTTTTTTATCTTATTTTTGGAAATGTACATCCTGCTTTTTCCCTTTAATATTTTTGGGGGCCCCCAAGAGAGTGGGGCCCTAAGCTATAGCTTGTTTAGCTTATACGTAAATCCGGGAATGTTCAAGGTGTTACTATTAGCATATAAAACCCTTAACAGCTTGGGGCAAGATTACCTGCATCGCCTTATGTCAAACATACCCGCTTGACGACTTCAATTAGCAGAATTTGGCACTATTACTGGTGCCACAAAATACCCATTCTGCATTTGTAAGAGCTTAGTCTTTTAGTGTGGCAGCATCTATTGACATCAGGCAGGTGCCATCACTGTACAGTGGTACTTCGGGTTAAGTACTTATTTCATTCCGGAGGTCCGTTCTTAACCTGAAACTGTTCTTAACCTGAAGCACCACTTTAGCTAATGGGGCCTCCTTCTGCTGCCGCACCGCCGGAGCACGATTTCTGTTCTTATCCTGAAGCAAAGTTCTTAACCTGAAGCACTATTTCTGGGTCAACAGAGTCTGTAACTTGAAGCATCTGTAACCTGAAGCGTATGTAACCCAAGGTACCACTGTACTCTTTTCAGCATCTGCTAAAACCATTTTTCTTTAGACAAGTCTACCCAGATATTTAGAAAGTTGGTGCAAGTTTAATCTGTATTTATTATTTTATTTATTTTAACTTTCCAAAGGTCTTAAATTCTGATTAACTTTTCTTATTGATAATTTTATTGAGCTTTTTTTCCCAATCAAGGGGTGTATAAATTTTATGAAACAATAAATCATAAAATAATATAAAAGGCAGGCTGAACACATCCCAACCACATTAAAAGGGGGCGCAAACACATAAAACCCTCCAAATGAAGGGCCAAAAGCCTGATTAAAAATGAATTTATATTTTTTATTTTTGCTTGGGCATCTAAAAATAGATCAAGGTGGTTTGGAATATTTGAGAAAGATCTGCGATCAAATGAAATCAGGGGGAAGGATTTGAATTATGAGCAGCAGATTGAGAAGGACAATAAATGTAAAATAGGAAATACTTATTAGATAAAGTTTGACATATATTGTAGGATGTTACGGGTGGGGATAAAAACACCACAGAGGTAATTTTAGAAGAAAACGTGTATTGAATGTGAAGTTAATGTGTTTATAAATTTTCAAAATTGAATGAAATTTATTATGAAGGGGGGGAGAGATCAAGATGGCAAATGCATACTTTTCACCAGTGGTGGTGGTGTTGTTGTTTTGCCTCTGTAGCCCTTTCCTGAAGACTGGCTTAGCCCTGGCAATTCACCCATCTGCATTCCGGGAATGCAAGGGATATATTTCTGAAATAAACAAGCAAAGTATAAAAAGCATCCTGGCCATGTGGGAAGTTTATTGCTCCTTTTGGTGGACCAGATGGCAGGCTGTTATCCAACAGCTCACTTATGCAGCCAGATCATTTTTCAGCGTGCGAAAAGGTGTGCTGCAAACATTACCTTGCCCTCATGCTGAAAACTGATCTGGCTGGGGGGTGATGGAATAGACAGAGGACCACTTTGCCACGTGCCCAGGTGCAACATGCCCTAAAATTACCTTTCAGTTCTGTGAATTAGTGCTGGATCCTGGAAGGAGCTAAGACAATGCCTATCAGATAAATCGGCAAGGGGAGGAGTAGGCCATTGCTGTTCAGGCTTGGCCTGGCAACTGTTAACAGAAACTTAAAATAAATATAATTGTAACACTAGCCTTTGTGCATAACACCCAGAGAGGAGGTGGCAGACTTCTAGTTGCTACAGTAGAAGTTGCAGCTCCAACAGCGAGAAGCAACACTGTCTATAGTACTGTAAGGCAAAGTGCCAACTGTTATTTTATTGGAAGGAGAGCCAAAGTGCTTGCAATCCTAACCTCAAGTTACCTGGGAGCAAGCCCTTTGAATTCAACAGGACTTGCTTCTGAGTAGACGTAGTTAGGCTTGCGCTGTAACTTTTTGTTACTTCGTTGATTTATCGCATTTGTAACTGGCCTTCTCTCCAAGGACCTCAGCGTTAGTATAATTGCAACATGCCGAGTTATTCATATCTTGGTTTTTGCTGCAACAATTTGAGCAGTGACTCGGTAGAGCGGGGGGAGCAGAATGCAAATTTGATTTGCTGACACATTATGGGAAGGTGTGCAAGTAAAAGAAATTTTGTTTGGGTTCTTTCCAGTTTTTATATGATCTAACTCAGTGCTATTTTTCAAGAAAACTTATTCCATTCCAGAAGTCCATTCCAAAACCAAAGCGTTCCAAAACCAAGGCACGCTTTCCCAAAAAAAGTAATGCAAAACAGATTAATCTGTTTCAGACTTTTAAAAACAACCCTTAAAACAGCAATTTAACATGGATTTTACTATCTAACGAGACCACTGATCCATAAAATGAAAGCAATATTCAATGTTGTTGTTGTTTAGTCGTTTAGTCGTGTCCGACTCTTTGTGACCCCATGGACCAGAGCACGCCAGGCACTCCTGTCTTCCACTGCCTCCCGCAGTTTGGTCAAACTCATGCTGGTAGCTTCGAGAACACTGTCCAACCATCTCATCCTCTGTCGTCCCCTTCTCCTTGTGCCCTCATAAATTATTGTAGATGATAAAAATTAAAATCATTTTTTTTTCTTACCTGCACTGATGATAGTCATTGTTTGGATGGGGGGCTTTTATCCATTTCCACAGTCAACACAATCAATCAAGTAGCTGAACTGGGTT